GCAAAAGTCCATTACACAAGTTCTGCACGACTAATTTTTTGGGTGGATGGGTGGCTAGAAAGAAGCTAATATCGGACCATGACGACACTTTTGGAATCTCTGAAAAGGGGTATTCCACCGTTTTTACAGAAATGTGTTCCGCCTATCTTGCTGTTGCCGGAGAAGATGGATACACCAGACCCGAGCACCGCCGTCGAAATCACGCTTGCCTGGCCTATATATAAAAAACAAATAGAAAACAATTCCGCAATCGATTTCCATCCACCAGTCACCTGTATCGATGGAAACAGTTGATTCCACCGGCGAGATCGATCCAGTGAAGGCCGAACGTCAGCCCCCCCTCTCCGGCGGCAATAAAGGTCGAAGAGAATCCCCTCCCCGACAGCAACAACGCAAAAAAGAACAAGTTCTATTCCACTTCTGAGTTGCATCCGCCAATCGTTTGCACCGACGGAACCGGTTGACTCCACCGGTGAGATCGAATCGGTGACGGCCGAAGGACAATCCAACCGCCGCCGGCGGTAATAACGGCCAAAGAGAATGCTCCCCTCCCGCAGCAACGATGCATAAAAAGAAATCAAACATAAAAAGAAATCAAACAGGGAGAAATTTTCAGAGCATCAAGGAAGAAAGTGGACGCGGAAGAAAAAACAAGGAAAAAAAAGGGAAAAACTTATTCGCCATGGCTTGCCACGTGTATAAGTTACCGGACTACGGGATGGTTACCTTTAAAAAGGCTCAATTGAACTTTTTTGCAAAGTTGGAGGATTTATTTGAATGTTGTTTTTAAAGTAGTAGGATCTAATTGACTTTTTTGATATAGTAGGAGGGTTTATTTGGTAGTTTTCCCAAAAAGATATAAGTCTCATCCTTGTAGACCTCCGGCAACGATCAGCTAGTCGAGTAAGATGTGTTAAGTTAAAATTTGATACTACGTATAAAAAAAGGACACACCATCTTCCACACCCATTTACACATCAAGTGTATTTTGTTTGTGCACATAAATTAATGATTTTCATTTTAGTAAATGGAGTTGTCCGCGACTCCCAAAAAGTAAATTATCTGTGCACAAACAATTCGGGGTGATAGACAATTCCCTTTACTATATTGAAAATCAACCGTCTATGTATGAACAAAATACACTCAGTTTTGATTGCATTATGATACAAAGGATGTTTTCTTTTGAACTGAAATTTGCTGGTCTGGTCTGGTTAGGTCTGGTCTAGTAAACGTCTGGTCTCTGTGTATTTTATAACTACGAAAGTCAAATCTGATCTGATCTGGTCTGGTATGGTCTGAGACTGAAAACAGTTCAAAAAAAAAACATCCATAGTACTACGTATGAAATTTTCAGTTTTGATACTTCTAATCGAGATAAGGAACAAAAACAATCCTCGATGGTAACAACATAAAATGGGAAAGTTAATTTAATGACTATAAGGATGTTTTCTTTTGGACTGTTCCAACAGAACATCCTCGATGTTAACAACAAAACATCCATATTACTCTCTTAGTTCCAAGGCAATTTTTCTCGGTCTAAGAATGTTTTCTTTTGGACTGTTTTCAGTCCCAGACCAGACCAGACCAGACTTCCGTAGTTATAAAATACAAAGAGACCAGACGTTTACCAAACCAGACCAGACCAATTCAGACCAGACCAGACCAGACCAGACCAGACAAGATCAAGCAAGACCAAACCAGACCAACAAATTTTTGTCCAAAAGAAAACATCCTAACTTGACACATTTATTAAGTTACTGAGAATAATATATATATATATGTGTGTGTGTGTGTGTGTGTGTGTGTGTAGGAAACTTCATGTCAGGCCGGCCTGACGGGCTGCTCTGTCCGGCCGAGACCGTTTGTGCACCTTCCCGGTGGAATTTTTTGATGAATTTTTTTGAGCATGTTCCTCATCAAGTCTAGTTTGTCCATACCAAATTTCAGTTCAAAATTCGATCGGGAAGGCATTCAAATCATTTTTTGAAGTTGACTACGTTTTTATATATATATTTTGACGCAGTCAACTTCAAAAAATCATTTGAATGCCTTCCCGATCGAATTTTGAGCTGAAATTTGGTATGGACAAACTAGACTTGATGAGGAACATGCTCAAAAAATTTCATCAAAAAATTCCATCAAAAAATTCCACCGGGAAGGTGCCCAAACGGGCTCGGCCGGACGGAGCAGCCCGTTAGGCCGGCCTGATGAGAAGAGCACTATATATATATAATTGTGATTAAGTAAAAATATTAAATGAATGTCATCTACAAAAAAAGAATTCTAAAGAGGAAATGAGAAGATGTTTTGAGACATTCCAAAACCATAAGTGAGGATTTTTTTGGGACAAAGATAATATGATGTTTATATTAATAGGAAATACAGAGTGCATTTTTATATGGGGGATCGATAGTCATACTACTTTTAGTACTTCTAATAAAAGGAGGAATTTGACTTAGCATCACACTTTTTAGTTGATATTAAACTTTGCATTTCATTTTCAAAAAACTTTGACTTTGCATACCATTTCACTTACAAGTCAATGACTTTGCATCTCATTCAAAAAAAATCTTCACAAAATGTTATATGATCAGGTGCAAAACCAGTTTTTCAGAATGGGGTGCAAAATCCAATACAACAACAACATCCAAACCTTAGTCCCAAAAGATATTGGGTCGGCTAACATGAATCGATATATGATATCACCACCAAAAGGAAAAGAAAGAAAATAAAGATAAAAAATATAAGCTATTAGGAAAAAGATAATATAAAAGAAATGAATATACCTAAAAATGATAAAATAAAAGGATAAAAATAATGTTTATATATAAGGATAAAAGGATAAAAAAAAACAAGAAAAAATAGGGGAAAAGATAATACGAGATCACTTCGGACTCCCCTAACCCACGTCTGTTTGGGCCTTCCTATCCCTCTCTTCCTTGCCTCTTCCCCACACATCTCAACTCGTCTTACAGGTGCATCACTCGCTCTTCTACGCACATGACCAAACCACCGTAGGCGCGACTCCCGCATCTTGTCTTCAATGGGTGGTACTCTCACCCTGTGTCTGATTGTCTCATTTCTCACTTGGTCCTTCCTAGTAGCCCACACATCCAACGCAACATGCGCATCTTCACCACACCCATCTTTTGAATGTGACATTGTTTCACCGCCCAACACTCTACGCCATACAGTAATGCAGACCTAATTGTTGTCCTTTAAAACTCACCCTTTGGTCTAGTCGACATACCTATATCGCATAAAAATCCCGACACACTCTTCCACTTCATCCACCCTTTTCTCATTCTATATATGGGATACATCTCCATCTAACTCACCGTCCTTCTGAATTATGGAGCCTAAGTAACGGAACATATCGCTGACCGGTATCTCCTTACCATCTAGAATAATTCCGCTGCTACCACTGCTTCTACCTCCACCAAACTTACACTCCATGTACTCTGTCTTGCTCCGACTTAGTCTGTAATCCTTGTTCTCCAATGTTTCTCGCCATACTTCCAACTTTGTTTTAAGACCTGATTGCGTCTCATCAATCCATACAATATCGTCGGCAAACATCATGCACCACGGTATTTCGTCTTGAATTGACTTCGTAAGTTCATCCATGACAATGGCAAATAAGAAAGGGCTCAGAGCCGATCCTTGGTGCACTATGATAGTAATAGGGAACTCCGTAGTCCTATCTACATTAGTACGGACACTTGTAATACAATCGTCATACATATCCATGACGATGATCATACACTTGCGTGATATGTCTTTTCTAGTTAAGGCCCACCAAATAACTTCTCGAGATACCATATCATAAGCCTTTTCTAAGTCAATGAACACCAAATGAAGATCCTTGTGAGCGTCTCTATACTTCTCCATAAGTTGCCGAATAAGGTGGATGACCTTAGTTGTTGAGCGATCATGCATAAAACCGAATTGATTCTCTGAAATCTTCATAGTTCTTCGAAGTCTTTTCTCAATCACTCGCTCCCAAAGTTTCATGGTGTAACTCATAAGCTTAATCCCTCTATAGTTGACACATTTTTGTACATCACCTTTATTTTTGAATAAAGGGATAAGAGTACTCTTCATCCAACTCGTTGACATCTTGTTGTTTCTCCAAATCATGTTGAAGAAACTTGTTAACCACTCGACGCCTCTCTCCCCCAAACTTCTCCAAGCCTCGATCGGTATGCCATTTGGACCCACTGCTTTCTTCCGTCCCATCTTCCTCAAAGCCTCCATTTTTCCTTAATAATGAGGTGCAAAATCAAATTCGTAATAAAATAATGCAATTACTTTAGACATAATTTTTAAAATAAATTACATATCCAATCAAAATAGTTTATGTTTTTCTTAAATAGAAGTAATTCACTACCATCATGAAGATTTAATGCTATACTGTGGCACCATCATAGTCATACAGTCATACTTTAATATAAGACGTTTTATAATTGACAATATTTTTAAGGAAAAATTGAAAATAATAATTTTAATTATTGTCGGGTCCGCTAACAATAATTCCAACTATTGTTTATTTTTATATAATCCCAATTATATGGACCGTCCGATAATAATGTTCCTTGATCATATATTACCTGCTATAACAAATGAATTTTAAGTAGAAATTAAGCGTAAAAATTAAAAGATGAGATTATTTATATGAATTACTTGTTATATCTCTTCTCATCCACTTTAGAAACTACTGTGTATATGATTTATTTATAGCCGGTCACGTCGGACCATTATTGGCGGAAGAGGTCCATAAAGTTGGAATTATTCTGAAATAATTGATAATTGAGATTATTATGAGTGGATCGCCAATAGTTTTGAAATTTTTACTATCAATTTTTCGTATTTTTAAACATTACTTTGAAATATGGCATTGTTTTTATTAATATAATTTCTTTTAATTTTTCTTAATTCACTTGAGATAATTCATCTTGTGTTGAGATAATTTCTTTCTCACGCTAATCTCTGCGAGCGTGATGCTGCTTACTGCAAAACTGCAGAGTATTCCTCACAGGCTACCAGTCGTTCCTCCCGAAATCTTCGGAGCTGAACCGTTCACCCTTGTTGGCTCATCATCAAGTCAACTTCTTTTTTCCATTTCTCAATCCTCTTCCGGAATTCAACAATTCTTAGATATTCTAACATCATAACTGCCATAATTTATTTATTGCAATATCCCCTGTTCGATTGATCGTTTCATGGTTCCGGAATTGGAAATGGGTGTTGACGAAATCTTCGGAGAGTCCCGAGCGGTCAGTATCCCGACCAAGAGCGCGATCTACGTGTGGGGCTACAACAACGCCGGCCAAACGGGTCGGAAGGGTAAAGATACGAGCTTGCGGATCCCTAGGCCACTGCCGCCTGGCCTATTCGGCTGCCCCGCAGCTGGAGGGAATTCACGGTGGTTGGACATCGCTTGTGGCCGCGAGCACACAGCCGCAGTCGCCTCCGACGGCACCCTCTTTACGTGGGGTTTGGTTCCTTTATTCCATTTCCTTAACATATCATTTCACCATTTATCTAACTTTTATTTATAACCAATCGTGGAGCTATCAATTCTCAGTTGCTTCTAAAGCTAGCTCTTTTTCCATGATCAGAGTTTTGTTAATAAAACTAATTTATTGAAATGCTCGAATAATTTGTTTGTAATTACGGTTTATCCTTCAAAAAGAAAAATATTGAAAATGTTCCAACTAACATGTGGGAAAATTATGTAAAAGTAGTTCTTCTCAATATTTTTTACATATAATACCTGAATACCAAAATGTTTACTTATTTCTGAATTCAAACAGGGACGAATGAGTTTGGTCAGTTGGGTGATGGAACTGAAAGGAGTAGAAATTACCCTAGGAAAGTGAAGCAATTGCAGTCCGAATTTGTGTTATCTGTTTCCTGTGGAGCACACTGTACAGCTGCCATTGCAGAGCCTCGCGAGAACAATGATGGATCCAAGTCAACTAGGAGACTCTGGGTCTGGGGTCAAAACCAGGTCTTGTTTGTGGATTTTAGCGAGATCCGTTCATCTCTGTATTTCTTTCTCCCTTTCCATTCATACCAACTAACAGTTGTATATCATTCTTCTTTTATTTCAGGGCTCTAACCATCCCCGTCTATTTTGGGGTGCCTTTGCTCCTGATGTGGTATGGAATCTGTCTCCTGAAATATATGCCACTCCCCCGGTTCACAATAAGTGTTGGCTGTGTCATTACAGATGTTTTTTTTTTGTTTCACAATATGTGCTCTCTCAAAACACCAAGACAGTACATTACTACTATGTTATTCCATCTCCCCCCTTCTTGAAAATCCTTATGCTGAATTAAACTTTAGTGACAATTAGATGCCAATAAGGGGGAGTATGGTAAAATATTTCTCTATTTGATAACACAATAATATGTTTGATTTCTCTCAAAATGACACTCTTTGAGAATTGGAGGTAGTGTAATGTGCCAAGCCATTCTTATTCATTCAAAATATCCAGATTATTCGCCAAGTCTCATGTGGGGCAGTTCATGTTGTGGCTCTATCAGGAGATGGTGTACTGCAAGCATGGGGTAACTTCTGTCTTGTTTTTTTCTTTCCCCCGTTTTTGTGTAGTTTATCCTCTGTAGGTTATCTGACTAGATGAAACTCATTACTCAAGGTGTATAGTCTAACTTTAATTGTGGATTGGTTTTACAAGTTATGAGTTTAAACTAATTTAACCAGACAACTGGTAAAGGGAAAATATTAATTAGAACTCTTGCTGCTTGGGCAAAACCAGGCTATAATGAATATGGTCAGCTTGGGAGAGGTGTTACAAGTGAAGGCCTTCAAGGCCCTCGTGTGATTAGTGGATATGCTAGATTTCTCGATGAAGTCCCTGAGCTTGTGAAGATTACACAAGTGTCATGCGGGGAGTACCACTCTGCGGCCATATCCGAAGAAGGCGAGGTGTAAGTGCTCATAGGACCCTTTATTGATGAAAATAGGTTTAGTGATAAGCATAAGAAAGCTTTGGATATCTTCATGACACAAGAGGAGTCACATGGAAGTGTAGGAAACTAGTTGACCACCCTCTGACCACAATATAATGTCTAATCCAGTGACATACTGACATTTAAGTCATAATTTAAATGAGTAGTGTGTTGCTCATTTCTTGTTCTAATAGAGAGAAATAAAATGGAAGAAAAAGAAAAGACAGAAAGGTAAAAATAAAGTATTGGATGCAAATGGAATTTGGGCTTTATATATGATTAGGTAAAAGCCTGTATTCCACAGTAGATATCCTTTCTGGTGGAAAATCTTTTTCTCAATGCTGAGCTTTTCTCTATCGATCATAACAGCAAGGTTGTATGTATCTCTCAGATCTAGTTGGATATGAAATGAAACTATGAAAGTGCATTTTTGTGCAATCATCTTCTAGTTTCTATTTGAATTTCAACGTTCAAAGAGATTGCATATGAATAAGCCGCTTCCTTAATGTAGAGGCTAGATACTTACACTACTTACGTAGCAAGTTATAGAAATATTCCCACCGGGGGGCGTAGCTCACTTGGTAGGAAGAGAGTGCCACAAGGGAGAGGTTTCGGGCTCAACTCCAAGCAATGACTTGGGATGGAGCTCACTCTCTTTCCATCAATGTGTGATCAAAGCTTAACTTACATCCTCCCAGATTACAGTGCAGTCGGTTCTGGAGGCCCTCAGGGATGAGGTGTCATCCTTTTTTTTTTATATAGAAATATCAAATATCCCCATCGTTTTCTTCTGGCATTCTCATTTTCGTACCAATTAAATAGAATTTTGTTTGACCAAAGTACAGCTTTTTAGCTTGGCCGGATACATCTTTTAATAATCAGTAATCATACTTATAATAGCGTTATCCATAAATCTGGAGGTATTTTCTAGTGATAGACTTCACAGCTGTTTTATGAAGTTTGTTGATTTTTCAGCCGTAAAGAGATGACACGTATACCCAGATAGTGCTAGAATAACCCCTGTAACCCTTTGGTATCACTTTCCCCGTTTGCTTAGCATTATTTCTGAAATGCCACAGATACCAGAAGCCAACAAATAGTAGGCATTGAAAAATCCAGTGTTGTTGTGGACTCTGAATCCACCAATTGAGATCAAATAAAACTGGATTGAAGGGTTTTCTGATTTTGATACCAAATTTCCTTGCAAAGTGATCCCAAACTACCAAAGCATTTTTTTTCTCTTTCTGACAACAACTTTTTCGAGGCCACCTGAATGCCCAACACTTTTTTAGAACAGAGTCCATGGAATCAATCAATGCCAAAGGTTCCATGTAAGAATGAAATTTTAGGTGGAATTCTTGGGAAGCAGATCAACTCTAAAAATATTAAAGAAATGGATGATGAGAACATCTGGAGAAAACCAGAAATATACAATTCCCTGTTTTACCCACAAGCAAAAAAGGCATCATCCTTACCCTTGGTATTGGGAATATCCCTATTTATCCAGCAGGGTGGAAGGACAGAGTAGAGTTTTCATTATGTCCTAGGTCTCATTGATAGTATAGTCTTCATTTTTTCCTTCCATCTTGAAGGAGGATATAGTTGCTTAGTGGACCCTCCTGGCAGCAAGTGTCCAGGAAAAAATGCATTTTCCATTCACCAAGAGTCCAAAACTTGTTTTCATCCATACATATCTCCATCTGCTTGATCTTCTTCCACATAGTTGAACCTCAGGCTTTAAGTTTCACCAAAGACCGGTGTTTCCCTTTGCAATATTCCAGTTGCATGACTTGACTCTGTAGAGACTTCAGGTAATTATATTTCCATCAAAGAGTGCTCATGCAAATGTCGGTTAGGTCCTGCAAGAATGTAATCCTCAACCCTCTAGTCCTTTTAGCATTTAAAGCTTGTTTCAACCAGATCAATGAATTTTTCTCCCATTAGTCCTATCCACACTAAGGGAGTGTTTGCAACAGCTTCTGCTTTAAAAAAAGCACTTTTGGGGTGATTTGGAAAAAGTGATTAGTTGTAAAAGTTGATAGTGTTTGAGAAAAAAGTGATTTTGAAAAGTAAAAGTTGGTAGTGTTTGGTAAAATAAGTGCTTTTGGTGTATAAATAGGGGAAAAACACTTTTGACACGAAAGCCGAGAAAAGTAAAAAATTGGTAGTGTTTGGTAAATAAGTGCTTTTTAAAGCCAAAAGCTGAGAAGTGCTTTTTTTAAAGCTGTTGCAAACCAGCCCTAAAAGAGTTGCACAGTTTTTTCAAATAATTTAGTTGCACTCTTAGGAGGAGACAAAGCTTTGGAGGGTATAGATTCTCATAAATCAGCCAACGATTAAGTAAAAGGATTGAAAAAGCGATCCTTCAACTAAATTTATCATATGTAACTTATACTCCGTATTATTTGTATATGCCTCTATTTTGGCAAATTACATGAAAAAATGTTTTTTTTAATCAAAGAGGACTCAATCTTGGTGGAAAAGAATCAAAACAAGATTCTGTTTTTGGGGCGGATTAGCTTCTTTGATTTTTCATTAGGTGCATGTTTTGTGTTCAAGTTTAGCAGCATGATATTCGTGCAGGAATTTGTAGTTTGGTAGCCCCCGCTTAGCACCAAACATTTTGTCACAATGTTACTCTCAATTTCTCATGCCATGGATTACAAGTTTTTTTTCCTACATAACAGTATCGCAATCCAGAAAGCTTATAACTTGCTGTTGGTAGAAGTACTTAGTTTTCTCGAAGTCCTATTTATGCAGACGATAGTAGCGCTTTATATCTACCAACTTATTTTCTTTATTTGCTGAATGTTTTCATACATATCTTCTTCTTGAAATGGTTTAATATAATGTCACAGCTACACTTGGGGACTAGGAAATGTGGGACAGCTAGGGCATTGTTCTCTCCAATCAGGTGATAAGGAACTTCTACCTAGACGTGTGGTCTCCCTTGATGGTGTATTTATCAAGGACATTTCATGCGGTGGTGTCCATACATGTGCTCTGACCACTAAAGGGGCTCTCTATACATGGGGTGGAGGTCAAGCTGGACAATTGGGCCTTGGGCCCGTTTCGGGATTTTTCTCTTGCAAATTCGATGAGTCAGACATGATGCTTAGGAATATACCCATTCTGGTTATACCGGCTGGCGTGCAACTTGTTGCTTGTGGCCATTCTCACACATTAGTTTTCACCAAGGAAGGAAGAATCCATGGATGGGGTTATAATAGCTATGGTCAAGCTGCTAATGAGAAATCGACATATGCTTGGTATCCCTCGCCAGTTGATTGGTATGACCCGCTTAAGGATCTATCTGGATGGAAGGTTTTGGAGGGGCAGAGTTCAGAGGACTTAGACTATATCGATATATATATATATATATATATATATATATATATATATATATATATATATATATACACACACACACACACACACACACACTTGAAATTTTACAAAATTTGAAAGATGAACGTAGTAGGTTTTTGAGCCTCATATATTTTCAGAAATATACTATTTTTCAAGATATAGTCTATGCCTTTCAACACATTCCCGTTTTAACCCCTCTCCAAACAGGTCTGAAAGCTATTTGCTTTAAATGTTAGATATGTATTGATTAAATTATTCTAAAATTAAGCATTGTCATAGGTGTGTTGGAGAAGTCAGGAAACTGGCAGCTGGTGGGGGTCATTCTGCAGTATTGACGGATGCATGTTCATTGAAGGAGTTATGCGAGTTTCGTCTTGCTGAAAGCGTGAATCTTGCCAATGCATATGAAATTGAGGATGTTGCATCAAGAACAGGGTCTGATGCACTCGCTCGCCTTTGCGAAAGATTAAGGTATTGGTTTAATGGTAGCATGTACCCGTTGACTCTATGAGCATACTGTCGAGTGCTTTTATTTCATGCTCGCAACATTTAGGGCCCGTTTGGAACTTAGAAATGGCTAGGAATAGAAATAACAACATCCAAGTCCTATTCCCGAAAGATTTTGGGGTCGGCTAGCATGAATCAATCTATGATAATGGAGCCGAAAAGAAAATTAGAAAAATAAAAAGATATAAACAAGATAAAAACATCATCATTACCCTAGTGCCGCAATGGCTTCCACCTACTGTGGGGTAACGGGGGTTGGATGTACACAACCTTACCCCTGTACTTTTAGAGACTATATCTGGATTACCCATGACAGCGTAAAAAATTGCATAATTTGATTGCTGCTTCATAACAAAGAAGCGCAAACAATTAAGTGAACCATTTTGCTTTATTCTATCATATTCTCAAGCCAAAAATAGTATTTTTGCTCCATTGGAAATGGTGAAAAAAGATAGAAATAACACAAAGATGAAAAAGGCAAGATAAAAGAAAACAAAAATATAAAAGATAAAATTAAAAAGAAAGATAAAGATAAAAAGATAAAAGTAAAAGAAAAAAAGAAAATAGAGAAATTGAGATTAATCACCCAGACGAATATGCGCCCTCTATTTTGCTCTATCCAAAACCATACTCTCATCCATACCTAGAAGAAGCATATAACTAATCCAGGTCTGGTTGAGTGTTCCTCTCCCTCTCCTCCCTGCCTATTGGCTAGGAATAGAAAATAAGGCGGAAATTGGAAGTAAAGTATTTTCTTAGGAAATAAAATATTGCTTTAAACTCCATATTTTGGACATTTATTCAAACTCATTTTGTTTATATTTCATTATTTCTATTACATATAGACTAAAAGCTAAATATATGTAATTATAAAAAAAAGAATTTGATTTCCCTTCATATTCTTCTCTAGGTAAAACCAAAGATAAAAAAACATCTTCATTGGTATATTTTCCAACCATTTTGAGTTCCAAACATTGCCCTTCCAAGTCCATTTACTTGGGTAAAAATGCGTGCGTGTGTATACTGTATAATAAAGACCTTGTGTGGAAGAAACCTTTCATGTTAGATCTTTATACCATTTATATTCATTCACAAATGCACACTCATTTTTTGGCTTGAGAATATGATGGAATAAAGCAAAACGATTCACTGAATTGTCTGCGCTTCTTTGTTATGAAGCAGCAGTCAGTCCATGCAATTTTGGACGCGATTTTCCTTACGGGTCATCCGGAAACAGTCTCTCCGTGCTTTAGTACAGGAGTAAGACTGTGTACATCCGACCCCCCCTTATCCCACCGTAGGTGGGAGTCTTTGCGGCACTGGGGTAAATGAAAATGAAAATGAAATGATGACAAATGCACACTCAAGTAAAGGGTCAGGTGATGTTATGCATTTGACATACCTTAAGCATGGCTGTGAGAGCTATCCACTCATTTTCTTATTGAGGGTTAACCTGGCATTCCCTAAACCTTTCCTTTCTCATAAACTCGTATAGTCTTACAGTCTTACTCTTATACGATAGTAGTTGACTCTATGATCTCTATAAACTAACTGCAGTTCTCAACACTACCCCTTTGTCCTGTTTCTTATGGGGCAGTTAATATCTGTTTGCATGTTTTGATATGCAGGGAGCATATGCTTGATGGGGAAAATCATAGACTTAGCAGTGATGAGTTTGATGTATGAAGCCTAGACAATGTAGAAGTATTGTTTGTATAATTCTTGTATTTGCCATACTGGGGGGAGATTGATTCCAAATAACATAGACTGTCCTCCCTAGCTAAACAACCTTTTTTCTTAGCAGCTTATTAGCAGCTAATTCTTCAATAATAAAGCTCGAGAAATGTACTTGATAGCAGCTTTTTACTGGAGCATCAAGAGCTCTGAGTAAACATGTTCATTGTAAATATATTTAGTGCATTGCGTTACTCTTCTGTAATTGGAATTTGCTCTTACATTTTGCCTCCACTCCTATGAAAGCGGAGTTGATATCGGTTATATCCGGTTCCAATTCTCGGGGTCGGTTTCGCACCTGCTCTATTTTTTAATCACATCTTTTCTTAAAATCAGGAATATAATTGGTCCGATTCTATTCTGGGGCAACTGGTATAGACCTGCACTGGTTCTGGTTTGGAACAAAAAACGAGGGGATTTGGATCAGTTTTCTACCGGTTCCAAAACTCGTACAACTATTTTTGTGTCATTTTTCCTTATAATTTATACACGACAAGTTCCATATCAATCAAATACTAATTTCAATTTCATTAGTATGCGTGCCATTTCCAAAGCTGGCCGAACCAAGGTTCTCAAAGTTTATTAAAACCGATGAATTTTTCTGCTTACGCCTGTGTGGCTGTGTATGAGTCACTGTTATCTTCTGCTTAGGATATGGAATGCTGGTTTGATTTGATTTGAGACATTTTGAACATTTAAATTTAATTTAAATTTTAGTTTGTGTGCTTACACCCTCTACTCTAACTGACACACAACGCCCATTTGGTAATCCTGAAATCAGTTGAATACACTAAAACAGTTGAAATTCTAGTTAAAGTGGCTGAATTAACCAAATCTGTTGAATAATACGGAGTAGAAAACATGTTAAGAATTCAGTCAATTAAGCCTCTTGAGCTTGAATTTCATCAATTTTATCAGATTCGATCAATTCAAAAGTGCAACATGAACAGACAATCATTTTGAGTATATCGATCATAAAAGACTACCAAGAACGGGCAATAAGCGTTTCTCTAGTGACTGAATCGTATTTCAAGCTTGTGGGGAATAGTTTGAATGTTCCATACATCCATTGACACACTATACATCTACTTCGCAAATTGCAATAATCCACCTGAATGTCCCATACGTATGCCTATATGATATCGTATATTGCCCGTTCTACATACGCATGGGATATTCCACTACAGTACTACGTATGCCTTTATTGCGTATCTAGTTTATTTCCCTAATGATTTTACAAACACATAAGGCTAACTTTTGGTTAAAAAACGACATATTTATTACCTATTTGACTAATGTCCCATGCTTCCTTTGACAAACCATCCATTTCATTATGTTAGGAAAAACAACCATCTATTCTGCACGAATATAAGGTCTATCACTGTTGGGATTGATTAAGTCACCGTGATCTACATCCTCTAAAATGCCCTGTCGGATTGGGGCGTAGAAACCCTTGATGTTGGGGATTCAACCTCTTTAGTGAAAGGAAAAACAATCCTCTAAGCGGACATATATTATAACTACATACTCCGTAATAAGAAACATGTACTAGTATATTTCTTAAGGTATCTCTCATGCACATCGACCTCAACATTTATAAGTCACGTTTGCGGAGGTTGGTACACTCATATAATAATAATGTAAAATCTTTACATACAAAATATTATTGTGGTGCGTGATTTTTCCCATAGTCTATTTGTCTATATTATCCAATACTGTGGAATAAAATTACACTATCTCAACTCTCAAGGAGTTAATGACTTAACATTATTATTAAACATTAAGCACTTTCGGAAAAAACATTAAGCAGGAACATTAGTTAATTTAGAACTTTTTACGAGCAATTTACTGATGTTTTAATCCAATCCACTTTAATTTGAGTTTTTTAGGCATCACCTCCAAATAAAGTAGCTAGATCACAATTGATCCCGTCCGCTTTTTATCTTTTAAAAGTGATCTACTGCCATTTCATACGTGACTATATCAAACAAATTTCGTGATAGAAAAAATTGATAGAAAAAAGGTTATCAAACATCTGATCACCGATTCTATTAATTTAATTTAGTCTTCACTTTTTTGATAGAAAAAACATATTTCAACAATTATTCTGGCAAACCGCAAAGTCAAAACTAGTTTTAAAAACCTATATACTCCGTATATACCAATGGATGGGGAAAAATTTCTTATTTGATCATCAGATCACTCAAGAAAGGTCACTAAGACTTTTCAAATTACCAAACCTTTTGAAATTATCTCGCGTTTGATCCATTAGCATATTGTCGATGTAAACACTAATTTCATTCTCAAGGCTTATGCGTTCCACCCAACTAATGTACTAACAAAACTCAACTATATTAAGAAAATTTTAACCAATAGGGTTAATTAATTACATAAGCATGAGCATGAAGTTAATTTTACATTAGGACACAAGTGTTATTATATTTACTAGGGGTGGATTCGGTTCGGGAACCGAACCGAATGTGGGAAAACCGAAACCGAAACCGATTTTTCGGTTTACTAAATGTTTGAACCGAAACCGAACCAAATGTGATCGGTACCCAAAAAACGGTGTTAAGGTGACGGTTCATTGGTGACGGTTCAGGAATCAAGGTGACGGCTGCCGCAGAAACAGTGCACTTCTCGAGGCAAGGCCATCATTACACTCCTCATTCCTCCTCCTACTATACTAGGTTCAAACCCACCTTACGATCGATATAGTTGATTTTAAATTTTAAATTGTTACTAAATTAATTTTAACCTCCTCCTCCTCCTCCTACTATACTAGGTTCTAAGACTTTTGTAAATTAGGATAAGTAATTTTGTTTATTTATTACTCATCTAGATTAGAAAACATCCTTAAAGTCTAGATACCTAAATACTTGGATTAAAATAGGCTTAAAAGACTTAATTAAAGGGGAGAACAAACTAACAAAGTACAAACCTGTACTTTGGGACTTCGGAGCTACGGATTCTGATTTTACGGGTTGCACTTCTTGGAACACAAATGATTTTGTTTAGGAATTCAAAAATAATACTCCGCAATTGCTGCCTGTTTTACCTTCGTATTAGCCAAATCGGAAGTTATCAGCTTTTAGAATGAAGTTGAGCCGAAAGGTTTTATACCTATTGGGGACAATCTATTTCTTAATTGGAGCAAATGTGTGGGCTATGTTTTTTCCTAATAGTCTACGTGCAAAATTATGGAGGCGTAGACACCATACAACTCGTGGCAAATTTATAATTTTGGTGAAAATCATGATTTTTCTTAAATGACCATTTATACAATTATGATGAGCATCAAGCTTGTTTTATTAAGTATTAGGAGTTTAACAATGAACACTAGTGATCTCTGCTTCATTCATATCTTCTAATTCATTTTTTTTAATTTTTCCGTTAATAAAATTCTTTTATACGTTTATAATCAATTTCAATTAATTTCAATATGTGAACCTAATGTAGTATTATACGTTTGAAATGTGAAAAATTTTAAAATGAGTGTTGAAGTTTATTCCTTCAATCCTCGGGTCCAACACGTAAGCCCAAGAGTTTCGAGTGGAGTGTGTATGTGAATGAACTAGCCCAACAACAAATAAGATGGATCAAGAAACAATATGTAGCAAGTAAAAGATTAGGTATTATTAATCAGTTAATAACTCCCCAATACAATACGCTTGCTATGGCTCGTCGGCCGTTCGTCTTACAAGGCAGTAGAAGACCTGCGAGTAAGAGAAGTATAAGCTAGCTAGAGTGCTAAGAATAGTAAGTTGTCAACCCTTTACAATGAAATAAATGCTGCTATTTATACCACCAATGGGCAGTTGGCCATGCTGGCGTTGAGGGCTGTGTGTGGCCGGCGTTTCAACCACCAAATCCCCAACATTTAATGCGTTTCCTGCCAGAATCTTAGTTTCCTGCCTAACCTGTGGGGACGTGCGTCCAGCTGGGAAAGGAGGCCTGCTCCTGATGATATTGAAAAGGGTAATGGGCCATTCGTATCCTGGTCCTTGGAGGATTTGTCACTTGGATTGGGCTGGCTCCAGGCGTTAGTAGCTTCCGGAGGCGACGTTCGTCGCCGTTGTGACTGTCTGCGGGTTTGACCCACATGTCTTCGTGTGGACACTCATCAAGGTGGGCTGCCTCGTTGGGCTAGACGTTCGTCTGGACTGAGGGATGAGTGGGCCGACCCTTGTCTTGGGCCATTAACCCAACACAAGTCCCCCACTTCTGATGTTCTGAGCATGCGAGGGACATAAAGAAGTATATTGCTCCTTAAGGGTGGGACGCTCATATCACGAAGCTTATGTTTGCCGCATTCCCGGAGGTGGACGTTCCTCTCCATGGTGTCTCTTCATTGGTGGCGGTTCAGGAATCAAGGTGACGGCTGCCGCAGAAACGGTGCACTTCTCGAGGCAAGGCCATCATTACACTCCTCATTCCACGCGCGGCGCGTGCTTCTGGGATACGCTCCTTACCACGTGTCACTTAGCTACTGGTTTCATGAAGCGGTGCTTCCCTTATAAATACCAGAATTCCCCATATGTTTAGGGTTTCCGATTCTCGCTTTCTCGCTCTAGACTCTCCGCCGTTCTGCAATCCGCTCATCTACAAGCTTCCCGGCTCACGTCCGCTGATCTAAGGTATTGTTGGTTCTTATTTTCCCTTCTTCGTGATCCTTTTCTGATTCTTCCAATGACCTCCATGGAAATTTCATCGAGTTCCGGCTCGGGTTCCTCTTCCGGCTCTTCTTCTGGCTCTGAGTCCGGTTCCCGCTCTTCTGAGGGCGCCAGTACCTCTGGCCGCTCCGACTCCCCGTCCGTTGCAGGGACGATTATTCAAGATAATGCCCTTGACACCTCTACCTCTGCTAGTACCTCCTCGGCAGACGCAACCCAGGGTTATGCGGCCGCCCCTGGGGGAGATGGGGGCAATGCCCCCCAGGAGGGTGCGATCCAGATGGTCGTGGAGAATGTGGCCGCCGATAATGATTGCCCAACAGATTATGACTCAGGCAACGAGGCCGTTGATGGTTCCGATGTAGAAGTATTTGACCTGGGTCTCACGGTTGATGTGGAGCGTCACCTTTGCCCCATTAAGAATGCGATTGGACATGAGCAGTTCTTCTCGGACCCGGCTCTCAAGGAGCTTAGCATTTACTTCCCTGATCCGCTATGCTACAACCTTCGAGGCGCAACCCATGTGATGAGGAGATGCCCGGCAATGGTTATGGTGCATTTCGACTCAATCAGGGCTGGGCTACGATTCCC